GATTACAGGTGCGCGCCGCCACGCCTGGCTTATTTTTGTATTTTCAGTAGAGACGGGGTTTCACCATGTTGGCTAGGCTGGTCTGGAACTCCTCACCTAAGGTGATCCACCCAACTCGGCCTCCCAAAGTGCTGGGATTACAGGCGTGAGCCATCGCGCCCCGCCTCAGTAGGAAGTTGTAATAGGCAAATGAGAGATCCAATCTGAACTGCAAGGCAAGAAACCTGGGTTCCAGTCCTGACTCCTAACTCTCAACAGGACCTGAGCAATCCCCCCTCCTCTCCAGGCCAATTTCCTCCTCATGAAATGGAAATGCAAAGGTTAAACAAGGTGATGTTTACAGTTTGGCATTCTGCAATCGCCTTGGCAGGGGCAGAGTAGCTGGCAGTAGCTGATAGGGCCTGGGGACCACCTCCCTCTCCTGCCCTGATGGCCTTGCTGGGCCTGGGCAGGGCAGTTGGCTGCAATTACTGGAGATTCCTACCCTGTGGTTATATCCCTGACCTCGGTGTTTGGGGGCGGGAAGGGTGGGCCCTGCTGGAGCCAGCCTGTGGCTGGGAGCCTCCTTGTCTTGGGCTCAAAGCTGCTGGGTTGGGAAGAGGTATTTTTTCCGGTTGAAGCCACTTTCGGGAATTGGGCCGGGTTTCCTTTTCCAAGTGTCCTGCTTGCTGAGGCCTGCTCGCATGGCCCTGTGGCCAGATTGGGGCACCTTCAAAGGGGCATATGTTTCTGAGTGGCCAGAGAGACCCCGCTCAGTGTCTCTGAAGGACAGGGAAAGGGGATGGCCTGAGCCTCTGCTCCCTGAACGTGGCACCGGCTAACCTGGATGGGAGAGGGTGGCTGACTGATCTTATACTGAGGAATGCCGGCAGGGGAGGACCAGGGCATTTCCTACCCTTCCCCTGACCTTCCTCTCTCCCTGCAGGTCTGTGAGAGCCCAGGTCAATTGCTCTTGGCCCCCTGGCTGGCTACTTATGGGGCACTGTCCTGAACAGCTCTGCTAAGATGCTCCTGGCCCCTCCCTCCACCCCGTCCAGAGGACGGACCCCCAGCGCTGTGGAGAGGTTGGAAGCCGACAAAGCCAAGTATGTCAAGACGCACCAGGTGATAGCTAGGCGACAGGAGCCAGCCCTGCGTGGGAGTCCTGGGCCGCTCACGCCGCACCCCTGCAACGAGCTGGGGCCCCCTGCATCGCCCAGGACGCCCAGGCCGGCCCGCCGGGGAAGTGGCAGGCGGCTGCCGAGGCCTGACTCGCTCATCTTCTACCGCCAGAAGCGGGACTGCAAGGCTTCGGTGAACAAAGAGAACGCCAAGGGCCAGGGGCTGGTGCGGCGCCTCTTTCTGGGTGCCCCGCGGGACGCTGCCCCGAGCAGCCCGGCCTCCACAGAGCGACCTGCGTCTTCAGGGGGTTGGGCCGCGCCCCAAGATGCCCCGGAAGCGGCGGGAAAGCGGGCGCTGTGTCCCACGTGCTCACTGCCCCTGTCGGAGAAGGAGCGCTTCTTCAACTACTGCGGCCTGGAGCGCGCGCTGGTGGAGGTGCTGGGTGCAGAGCGCTTCTCCCCGCAGAGCTGGGGGGCCGACGCTAGCCCGCAGGCCGGAACTTCGCCGCCGCCCGGCTCCGGGGACGCCAGCGACTGGACATCCAGCGACAGGGGCGTGGACAGCCCGGACGGCGCGGGCGGCGGCGGCGGCTCGGAGGCAGCCGCCTCGGCGCGGGATGGGCGCCCTCCGGTGTCGGTGGTGGAGCGCAATGCGCGCGTCATCCAGTGGCTGTACGGCTGCCAGCGCGCCCGCGGACCGCCGCGCGAGTCCGAGGTGTGACCGACGCGGCTCCGGAGCTGGCTTCCCAAGGAGTGCCAAGCGCGGGGCTGGCCCCGGGTACGGACAGGAATACCCTGCTTCTGGCGCGCTGGGTGCCTTTGCGTAAGCCCTTCCCTCTGGAACTCAGTTTCGCGTCTGAACCTTGGGGAAGTGGGACAAGTTGTTGCCGAAGGCCCTTCCCTGCGCCCGCGGCGAAGGGGGAGGGAGAGGCCTCGTGGTCCTTGTGGAGGCCAGGTCTGGGGAGTCACGATTGGGGTGGGAGATGAGCAAACCTGCTGAATAAAGTTAAAACGTTATTTAAATGGGGAGCTGAGGAAGGAGGCAAACGGGTTTTCGTGGTTAAGCGCGTGGGTTTTGAAGTGTGTGCTCCCGGCTGACTGTGTGACCCTGGGCAAGCACTTGACCTCCCTGGATGCAGCGGCACCCCTAGGTTATTAAGGAGGGAGGAGTAGGGGATACAAGTATTTCAAAATAGTTGTAATGCGCATGGCAAAGTATCCAGCATATAGAAAGTGCTCAATAAACGGTAACTGCTGTGACTTCTACCGAATGAGTACTAACACGGTTGTGATCTCCACTGGCCTCCAGGTCGATCCAAACTAGAGCTGGGAATAACGCGCTTTGGGAGTCCGAGGGGGCGTCTGCTCCAGAAATCTGGGCTCCACCAGTTCCTAAAAGGCCCCCATTCCCGGAGTTTTGCTGCCCCGGTTGTGGTCACTGGGTATAAAGGGCTGAGATGTGGAGGATCCAACCTTTCGGACACGAAAAGAAGGGAACCGGGCGGGGCGCGGTGGCTCACGCCTGTAATCCCAGCACTTTGGGAGGCCGAGGAGGGCGGATCACGAGGTCAGGAGTTGGAGACCAGCCCGGCCAACATGGTGAAACCCCCGTCTCTACTAAAAATACAAAAATTAGCTGAGCGTGGAGTGTGTGCCTGTAATCCCAGCTACTCCGGAGGCTGAGGCAGGAGAATCGCTTGAACCCGGAGGCAGAGGTTGCAGTGAGCCGAGATGGAGCCATTGCACTCCAGCCTGGGCGACAGGGGGAGACTCCGTCTCAAAAAATAAAAATAAGTAAAAAGAAAAAAAGAAAAGAAGGGAACCTTTTCTGCCAGCTCGCAGGCTCCTGCCGCTGCCTCCCTTTCCTGCAAGGACATACAAGATCGCCTATTTTCATCACAGGTTCCCACCTCCCAGCTTTCTTCCTTCATGCGCCTCCTTCCTCAGACTGAGTTGCCATTCCTTTTCTCTCTACTCTTCCTTCTCGGAGATAACATATATTCTCCTCCAGGAAGCCTTCCTGAATGCCCCAGTCAGCCTCACCTGCTCTGAGCTCCCAAGTGCAGCCCTGTTTTTGGGCCTCAATTTGTCACCTTTTGTGGGACCCGCTGGTAGTCTGGGTTCTCTAGTTAATCTTTGAGCTTTTCCTAGTACTGGGACGGCGTACATAGTAGAGCCACAGGCAGTTTGTTGAATTAAATGAGGCTGGAGAGGGCGATGGACGCAGTCCTCTGGAGCTCCCCAACTTCCTGGAAAGTTGTACCTTAAATAAAAAACCCATCCTGATATACGGGCTGACTCTGGTCATTTTCGCCTTGTATGTTTGGTGAGCTCCAGTTGGACCCCGCCGGAGGTCGCCCCCCGCAAAAGCAGTCTTTCTGGATGTCTGGACAAAAGCACGCGGTCACACAGACTGTCGGGTCAGGGTTTTTATCGGGTGGGAGCAGCCGGCGCTGGGTTCGGCCAGCCCGCTAGTCGCCCTTGGGCGCGGCCTTCACCCTCATCTCGGCCAGTTTGTGAGTGAGGAAGCCCCACTTGAAGCCGGCCACCGGCTCGGCCTCCTGCGACTCGGGG